GGGGCCCATGTTGGGACTACAGCGTTGCGTCAGCATATGCAGCGTCGCCATTCGGTGGCCTGGGAAAACCGTGATAAAGATACGGCGGTTCTGCCTGCCCCAGCCCCCGCTCCATCGCCCGCTCCGTTACTTGCTCCGTCACCCGACGTCAATCGCCCTCTATCAGCCAGTCAAGGCTCCAACACCTCTGCTGAGGGGAGTTGTCGCTCGTTGGCATCTTCCTCTCGTTCAGATGCTCCTTCTCCTGCTACTCCCTTCTTCACGGATTCCGTCAGCAGTCTTTCTTGGAATCCGTTTCCAAGAGACAACAGTTTGCGAGCACGCACCCGACGGTGCAAAAGCTGAACGTCCTCCTGTCCAAGTTGCTGGTGCTGCAGTCCCTCCCTTTCCAAGTGTGGTGGACTCAGCACCTTTCCGAGAAATGATGGCTTGTGCCCGCGCCGTGGTGGAGAGAGCCAAGCCGGCATTTCTTCGCCAAAAAGGCAGTGCCAGCCCCTGCATTCACATGTAGAAGAGATGGTGGGCCAGTCTTTGAGCATGTCGGTCTCTGCCAAAGTGCACGGCAGTGCCGACGTGTGGAGCTGTAACTACGGTCAGGGACAGTACATGTCATTTACGGCCCACTGGGTGAACGTGGTGCCGGCACAGCCGCACCAGCAACTTGGACAGGTCACGCCGCTTTTGCCTCCACGTTTGCACGTCCTTGGTCCAGAAAAGATGTCCGCCTCTACCACCTCTTCTTCCGCCGTGTCCTCAGCCGCCACCCCCGTGCCAAGTCCCATTACCCCGACCGGCATATCACATGTGCAGGGCGCAACGGTGTCACGCTGTGCTGCACCTGGTATGCCTTGGCGAACGTAGTCACACAGGGGAGGAACTTCTGAGTGTAATGAACAGAGAAATCGACAGATGGCTGTCTCCGCGCAAACTGAAAATCGGAACCATGTTGACCGACAACGGAAAGAACATGGTGTCTGCTCTGCGTCAAGGAAGGTTGTGCCATGCGCCATGCATGGCTCACGTGTTCAATCTGGTTGTCAAGCGCGGTTCCTAAAATCCACCATCCCACTGCAAGACATCCTTAAAATGTCACGTAAACTTTGCATGCATTTCAGCCATTCCTACACCAGCAAAGCACACCCTCCTTGAGCTGCAGCGGCAGAACGGAATTCCACAGCATCGCCTGATCTGCGACGTTGCAACAAGGTGGAATTCAACCCTACATATGTTAGACCGCCTTTACGAACAGCGAAAGGCCATCACCGATTTCCTGATGTTACAAGCGGATAAAGGTACTCCCCTGTGTAACTTAGATGTCAGCCATTGGCAGCTCATGCGTGACACCTGCCGCTTGCTCAGGCCCTTTGAGGAGGCCACGCTATTCGTGAGTCGGCAGGACTATGGGATGAACGACGTCATTCCTCTGTTGCACGTCCTGGAACAAATGCTGTTAACAATGGCTGGTCAGGGTGCGGTAGACGTGGCGCACAGATCTCAACGCCACATGCCCTGTGGGGGCAGGACAGGAAGAAGAGGAGGAGGTAGAGGAGGACATTGGTGCTCAGGAATTATTGAGTGAAATGGGTGGTTTTTTCCACTCAGCGGGGACAGGAGTGGAGGAGCAGGAGCATCTGGTAGAGGAGGAGGAGGAGACAGAGGACCCAGACGCACCGTGGCAGTATGCTGTGGAGATGGAGGCAGGGAGTCCCTCGCATTCCTTGGCACAAATGGCCCATAGCATGCTCGGTTGCTTGCGTAGCGACAGCAGCCGAATAATAACCATCAGACAGAGGGATGACTTTTGGCTGTCCACCTTGTTGGACCCTCGCTACCGTTCAAAAATGGTGGCCTTTTTCACACCTGCTGAGAGGGAGGCCAAAATAACGTACTATAAAAACCACCTATGTAGTCAGTTGGTCTCTGCCTTTCTGCGCCAACGTCCATCCTCAGAGACACTGTGGGCCCTGTGCGCTCGCGTTCCGCTGCCATGGCAGCAGGGGAGGGGTGGGGTGGTAGGAGCAGTGGCAGCTCCACCAGCAGCGGCTGCCTCAGTCTGCAGTCGATGATGAGTAGCTTTCTTCACCAGCGCAGTGAGGGAAAAAACTACTAACCAGCCGCAGCAGCAGCAGCATCAGGTGGACCTGGAGCAGGACCTCAAACAACAGGCTTGGGCCTACTTGGACAGCACCCTGCCAACCGAGGTAGACAATCCCCTTGACTACTGGGCAACGAAACTTGACCTTTGGCCCCAACTAGCTGAATTTGCCCTTGAAAGGCTGTCATGCCCGGCCAGTAGCGTGGCATCGGAGCGCGTGTTTTAGTGCGGCAGGAGGTCAGGGGTATTGTAACTCCGCGGAGGACACGACTGTCCACCCCAAAGTGTGGAGAGACTCACGTTTGTGAAAATGAATCAGGCGTGTGGATTAGTCTGGATTTCAAACCACCAGTTCCTGACACTGACTAAATCCGCCATGAATCATGCCCCAAACATGTTATTATTTTTAACATAGGCCTCTGTATGGCCTTCAATTTAAGCTGCTTACGCTTCGCCCACTCTGCTGGGCCCGTAATCTGCCATGGGCCCCTCCTCTCTCATGCTGCTGCCAGGTCCAGAGTGTGTCATGGGTCCCTGTACGGCCTCCCATTGCTGCTGTCTCCATCGCCACACTCTGCCATGTGCCACTTTCAGGTCTCCTCACACTGCTGGTGGGTTCCATTTTGTCATAGGGTGCTGGCAGATTACGGGCCTCCCATTGCTGCTGCCAGGCCCGTAATCTGCCATGGGCCCCCGTACCGATCTCATGCTGCTGGGCCCTAATCTGTCATGGGCCCCTGTACCGCCTCCTCATGCTGCTGCCAGGTCCAGGTCCAGAGTGTCTCATGGGTCCCTGTACGGCCTCCATTGCTGCTGTCTCCATCGCCACACTCTGCCATGTGCCACTTTCAGGTCTCCTCACACTGCTGGTGGGTTTCCATTTTGTCATAGGGTGCTGGCAGATTACGGGCCTCCCATTGCTGCTGCCAGGCCCGTAATCTGCCATGGGCCCCCGTACCGCCTCCTCATGCTGCTGCCAGGTCCAGAGTGTCTCATGGGTCCCTGTACGGCCTCCCATTGCTGCTGTCTCCATCGCCACACTCTGCCATGTGCCACTTTCAGGTCTCCTCACACTGCTGCTGGTGGGTTCCATTTTGTCATAGGGTGCTGGCAGATTACGGGCCTCCCATTGCTGCTGCCAGGCCCGTAATCTGCCATGGGCCCCCGTACCGACTCCTCATGCTGCTGCCCAGGCCCGTAATCTGTCATGGGCCCCCTTGTACCGCCTCCTCATGCTGCTGCCAGGTCCAGAGTGTCTCATGGTCCCTGTACGGCCTCCCATTGCTGCTGTGCCATCGCCACACTCTGCCATGTGTACTTTCAGGTCTCCTCACACTGCTGCTGCCAGGTGTTCCATTTTGTCATAGGGGCCTGCTGGCAGATTACGGGCCTCCCATTGCTGCTGCCAGGCCCCAGTAATCTGCCATGGGCCCCCGTACCGACTGCTCATGGGCTGCTGCCCAGGCCCGTAATCTGTCATGGGCCCCTGTGTACCGCCTCCTCATGCTGCTGCCAGGTCCAGAGTCTCTCATGGGTCCCTGTACGGCCTCCCATTGCTGCTGTCTCCATCGCCACACTCTGCCATGTGCCACTTTCAGGTCTCCTCACACTGCTGTGGGTGTTCCATTTTGTCATAGGGTGCTGGCAGATTACGGGCCTCCCATTGCTGCTGCCAGGCCCCGTAATCTGCCATGGGCCCCTGTACCGCCTCCTCATGCTGCTGCCAGGTCCCAGAGTGTCTCATGGGTCCCTGTACGGCCTCCCATTGCCTGCTGTCTCCATCGCCACACTCTGCCATGTGCCACTTTCAGGTCTCCTCACACTGCTGGTGGGTTCCATTTTGTCATAGGGTGCTGGCAGATTACGGGCCTCCCATTGCTGCTGCCAGGCCCGTAATCTGCCATGGGCCCCTGTACCGCCTCCCTCATGCTGCTGCCAGGTCCAGAGTGTCTCATGGGTCCCTGTACGGCCTCCCATTGCTGCTGTCTCCATCGCCACACTCTGCCATGTGCCACTTTCAGGTCTCCTCACACTGCTGGTGGGTTCCATTTTGTCATAGGGTGCTGGCAGATTACGGGCCTCCCATTGCTGCTGCCAGGCCCCTAATCTGCCATGGGCCCCTGTACCGCCTCCTCATGCTGCTGCCAGGTCCAGAGTGTCTCATGGGTCCCTGTACGGCCTCCCATTGCTGCTGTCTCCATCGCCACACTCTGCCATGTGCCACTTTCAGGTCTCCTCACACTGCTGGTGGGTTCCATTTTGTCATAGGGTGCTGGCAGATTACGGGCCTCCCATTGCTGCTGCTGCCAGGCCCGTAATCTGCCATGGGCCCCCGTACCGCCTCCTCATGCTGCTGCCAGGTCCAGAGTCTGTCATGGGTCCCCTGTACCGCCTCCTCATGCTGCTGCCAGGTCCAGAGTGTCTCATGGGTCCCTGTACGGCCTCCCATTTGCTGCTGTCTCCATCGCCACACTCTGCCATGTGCCACTTTCAGGTCTCCTCACACTGCTGGTGTGGTTCCATTTTGTCATAGGGTGCTGGCAGATTACGGGCCTCCCATTGCTGCTGCCAGGCCCGTAATCTGCCATGGGCCCCTGTACCGCCTCCTCATGCTGCTGCCAGGTCCAGAGTGTGTCATGGGTCCCTGTACGGCCTCCCATTGCTGCTGTCTCCATCGCCACACTCTGCCATGTGCCACTTTCAGGTACTCCTCACACTGCTGGGTGTGGGTTCCATTTTGTCATAGGGTGCTGGCAGATTACGGGCCTCCCATTGCTGCTGCCAGGCCCGTAATCTGCCATGGGCCCCCGTATACCGCCTCCTCATGCTGCTGCCAGGGTCCAGAGTGTCTCATGGGTCCCTGTACGGCCTCCCATTGCTGCTGTCTCCATCGCCACACTCTGCCATGTGCCACTTTCAGGTCTCCTCACACTGCTGGTGGGTTCCATTTTGTCATAGGGTGCTGGCAGATTACGGGCCTCCCATTGCTGCTGCCAGGCCCGTAATCTGCCATGGGCCCCTGTACCGCCTCCTCATGCTGCTGCCAGGTCCAGAGTGTGTCATGGGTCCACTGTACCGCTCCTCATGCTGCTGCCAGGTCCAGAGTGTCTCATGGGGTCCCCATGTACGGCCTCCCATTGCTGCTGTCTCCATCGCCACACTGCTGCCATGTGCCACTTTCAGGTCTCCTCATGGCTGCACTGCTGGTGGGTTCCATTTTGTCATAGGGTGCTGGCAGATTTCGGGCCTCCCATTGCTGCTGCTGCCAGGCCCGTAATCTGCCATGGGCCCCCGTACCGACTCCTCATGCTGCTGCCAGGCCCGTAATCTGTCATGGGCCCTGTAACCCCTGTCCTCCTCATGCTGCTGCCAGGTCCAGAGTCTCATCATGGGTCCCTGTACGGCCTCCCATTGCTGCTGTCTCCATCGCCACACTCTGCCATGTGCCACTTTCAGGTCTCCTCACACTGCTGGTGGGTTCCATTTTTTACGTCATAGGGTGCTGGCAGATTACGGGCCCCGTCCCATTGCTGCTGCCAGGCCCGTAATCTGCCATGGGCCCCCGTACCGCCTCCTCATGCTGCTGCCAGGTCCAGAGTGTCTCATGGGTCCCTGTACGGCCTCCCATTGCTGCTGTCTCCATCGCCACACTCTGCCATGTGCCACTTTCAGGTCTCCTCACACTGCTGGTGGGTTCCATTTTGTCATAGGGTGCTGTATGGCCTCCCATTGCTGCTGCCTCCACCGCCACACTGTGGCTCCACACTCTGGTTTTGGCCCCGTGACTGCCCAAATGAGTGAAGTGTGCGGTGATTCTAAGATCGACGGCACTCATCTGCATGTCATACTGACTGACAGTATTATTTCTCTTCCCCAGCAGACTCCAAGGGCATTTAAATTAAAGGTACAGTGTTCTGCACTAATATAAAGGCTCTCTGAAGCCTAGAAACACCCTTTTTATAAGTTAAATTCGCAGCAAATATATTCGCCTCGAATCAAATTTATTCCTCGAATTCGCCGAATCAGCCAAATCGAATTTTTGAATGCTTCGCTCATCTCTAGTGAACACCTTTGGCGCTATTTTCATTTATATTTTTTTTCATATATATTGGAATTTATACACAGCATTTACTTTCTGACTTCCGATCCCATTTCTTGAAGTGCTAAAATGCCTGGACAGTACACAAATCCCCCAAATGAACCCTTTTTGGAAAGTAGACACCCCAAGGAATTTGTTGAGAGGCATGTTGAGTCCATGGAAGATTTATGTTTTGCCATACATTTTTGGAAAACTACAGAATTGTTTTTTGTTTTTCTTTTCACAAAGTTGTCATTTAAATGATATATTTCTCACACATGCCATGGGTTTATGTGGAATAACATGCCAAAACACATTTTGCTACTTCTTCCGACTTTGGGGGATACTACATGTGAGAGATTTTTTGGCAGCCATACATACAGGCCCCCCAAAATCCAATGACCAGGCTTTCAAAGGGCATATTTCCTCATGTCACTTCCTCACTACCTATCACAGTTCCATGCACCCCCCCCCCCCAATTGCTCCTTTATGGAAAGTAGACACCCCAAGGAATTTGATAAGAGGCATGGTGAGTATTTTGCAGATATAATTTTTTGTCACAGGGTTTTGAAAAAGAAAACCTGTTTTCCTTTGCCTTCTTAATTTTGCAAAAATTGTAGCAACAAATGAGATCTGCAAAACTCTCACCATGCTCCTTGGCAAATACCTTGGAGTGTTTACTTTCCAAAAGGGGTCATTTGGGAGGTTGCTTCTACTATCCTGGCATTTCAGGGCCAACATTAGAAGCTTATGCCACACATCACCCACTCTTCTAACCATTTGAAGACTATGCCCTTTCTGACACTTTTTGTTTACATTAAAAAAATTTTTGATAGAAAAGTACTTTGCACCCCCAAATATATAAAACATTTTTAAAGCATAGGCCCTAGAGAATAAAACTGGGTATTGCAATTTTTATGTCACACTGCATTTGCGCAGCAGTTTTTCAAACTCAAATTTTTGGTTAAAATACACTTTTTTAGAATATTAATGTACAAAAACAATATATTGTGCAATATGTTTGATAAACTATAAAATATGATGTTACGCGGAATGAATAGATGCCAAACATGACATGCTACTTGAATGTTTAATATCCATAGGTGATGTTTTAAAAGCTTTTACAGCTCACCACTTTAGATTTACACAGGAGGTTTATTGCTAGAATTACTGCCCTCACTCTGATGTTCACAGTGATACCTCACATGCAGGGTGCAATCTCTGTTTACATACCGACTTGGGACTGACACTTGTGTTCACTTTTTGCGCCGGGGCAGGGGAAGGGTAATTTTTTTTTTTTTTTTTTTTTTTTTTTTTTTTATTTTTACGCTGTCTTTCATTTATTTTTATCACTTTTATTGTTATCACAGGGAATATAAATATCCCCTGTGATAGCAATAGGCAGTTACAAGTACTCTTTTCTGAGAAATCTGGGGTCTATTAGACTCTAGATCTCTCTTCTGCCCTTAAAGCATCTGATCACACCAAGATCGGTGCGATGCTTTTCTAATTTTAAAATGGTGCTGTTTATATCTGGCGAAACTGAAAAGATGAAATGCTCATTGCTTCTGGTTTCTTAGACCATAGAGATGGCTGGAGTCATTCCAGTCTCTGACAAGCTCTATGGTCAGCTGGCCAGGAGAGCCCAAGAAAGGCAGGGGAGGGGGGTAGTCTTTTCCTACTGCTTCTAAAAGTGATCCAGCAGCTAATTAGCTGCTATGATTGCTTTTACATGAAAGTCAACCACCAGCTGAAAAAAATTATACCAGGATGATGCCTGTAGCTGCAGCCATCATTCTTCTATAACTCAAAGTCCAACGGCGTACCAGTACATTGCTTGTCCCTGTTGGGCATATATGTAACAGTAGAGAACACGGGCATATGAATCGGGTCTGTGGACCAATATGACAGCAATTCATTCTTTTTGTAACGTCCATGATGAGGGTTAGGCTAAAAAAAGTTTTAAATTTGGAAACTGTGAGAAGTTGCCATGCGAATTGTCTGGCGAGAGCTGTATTTGGGTGGGCAGCAATGTATTGTGTGTATAAATTGCTTTGGCCCGCAATCAAGTGATACAAATCTTCTGTGAAAAACAGCAGAGGGGGTAAATGCTAGTGCTGGCAATAAATGGGGTTGATCCTGCCAACAGTGCAGTTTTTGGAATACTATGCTATACTTTATTTGTATGGAAAGCGATGTGAACCTGTGTCATGCATTTGATGTCTGTGCTCCCTTTTGTAGATTTTTCCCAGGATTTCTTATTTCTGTGATG